ACCACTTTCTGTCCGTGGATTCATTCTTCAATTCCAGCGGACAAAGAATCCTGGTTCCAGTCCAAAAATTTGGTATCAATACTATTTTAATTTTGCAGATAAGAAAAGTGAAGTTATGTTGGGAATCCTTCCCAAGATCCCAATCTACAGAAGCACTGGCACCATGACCCCTAGCTTCGCTCAACTGCATGTGCAGGGAGCCTCCTACCCTTGCATCTTATCTCAAGATCAAGGTGTCTAGGGGATGCAGTTTTGGGGACCCTGTATAGAAGTCAAGGGGTAGGGAGAGCATCTTTGCTGGTGATGTCATCGGAGCTGAAGGTCACACCTAAGGAAGAAGCAGTGTTGGCAATTGCCAAGGGGCATATTATTTATAAGACAGGTTTAAGTTTGGGGAAAGCCTACACTTCAGCTCTTTCATCAGCTCTTTCATGTGGTGTGTGTGTGTGTGTGTGTGTGTATTTGAGGGTCTTATAGACTTGTAAATATAAGAGGCAATTATGTGTAAGAGTGATTTTCCTAGGTAGGTGTATATATTTTCTGCTTATTGAAATCAGCAGTTAAAAGAGCTGAATGTAGCCGAGAGGGGAATAACCCTGCTGCTTATGAGAAGAGGCTGTGTAAATTTTGCAGAGTGGATAAACTGGTAGTGGTTTAATGATTTTTGAAAACGATTTGCAAAACTGCTGCAGGGGATGGATAGGTAAATGTTGATTGATTCATGAAAGGATGTTACTCCCAAGGGAAGTAAGGGGCTGGAAATGTACATCTGTGACTCTAGTCTTGCTCCACACCTAGTTTGCTGCTCTGGGGGCAAGCTCTTTCCATTCAACAGGTCTCTGTTTTCTCCTTATATGGATTTCCCTCATGCGCTAGTGAGGTTTAAGCTAGCTAAAGCACAGCCTACATCAGAACAAGGTGACACTGGCAAGTGAATGGGAAAATTCGATAAAGAGGTCAAGTGAACAATGACAGTAAAGGATGTATGTAGCCTGAAATGCTCTGAGTTGCAGATTTATAGCCATTATTGCTCCCTGAGACCCATACGAACATTGAGAGGCATACTTCTGAGACCTTCCTCTCAGATCAAGGACTTCCTCACCCTGTTGATCCATGAATAAACATTTTTATAGTGCAGTATTCTACTTTTCTTTTATTAAGAGACTAGAGGCCCGGTGCATGAAATTCATGCATGGGGGAGGGTCCCTCAGTCTGGCCTGTGCCCTCTCACAGTCTGGGAGCCCTGGGGGGGATGTCCGACTGACAGCTTAGTGGGCCTAAGCCATCAGTCGGACATCCTTAGCATTGCCACGGAGGCAGGAGAGGCTCCCACCACTGCCGCTGTGCTCGCCAGCCATGAGACCGGCTTCTGGCTGAGCTGCGCTCCCTCTGTGGGAGCACACTGACCACCAGGGGGCAGCTCCTGTGTTGAGTGTCTGCCCCCTGGTGGTCAGCACGCATCATAGTGACGGGTCATTCCACCATTCGGTCATTTGCATATTAGCCTTTTATTATGTAGGATATGCTGTAGATGAGGCCCCCTAGAACCATAAGAAATGCAAAAAATTCACTGTTAACTCATTCTCGAATTGCCCCCATTTAAAATCTAATTGCCCCCCCTGTGGGGCACGTGCTGCACCTTGGGAACCAGTGGGCTTGACACTTTTCCTCTCTGAGCTTCATTTCTGAATACATATGCATATACCATGGGAATTGTAATCTCTTCTCCGCCTACCTCACTGGGTTGTCAAGGAGGTGCTGAGCAAATAAACCTAGTAAGTGATGTCTAAATGGGAAGGGATTGTTATTTTTAAGCTCATGGGTACCCTCACAGGTAGCAGGTGCTGATTAGAGGAGGAGAGCATGATTGTTTCCTGGGACTGTAGCTATGGAAGCTTTGCAGAGGCTTCCACAGGCCTTGGAGGGGCAGGCTCTGGCCAGCAGCCCTGTAGCGGTGGTCATCCCTGGAGGCTCTGGTGGGGGGCAGGGAGTTAGGGGGGTGCTAGGGAGGCGACAAGGCTGAAGGGGAAGTAACTGTCAAACCTTCCCGCTTGGCGCCATTCTTTAAATTGTATGTGGCTGTTTTGCAACTGTACCTGCTCAGGGTGGGACTCCAATCTCCTGGAGTGGGGCGGGGGCTGGGTCAGGGCGGAGCCAGGTGGGCTAGGAGGGTGGGTTTAGCCTCGGCCCCAGCGAGGTTCAGTGTGCTTCTGCTGCAGAGACAGCGCTGCTGCTTTTGGGAGGAAGGGTCTGACCCTGGAGGGCCGCTCAGGCCTGCCTCCACCCAGGTCTGGAGCTGTAGGGAGGAGAGGTGTGCCCAGTCCCAGTGGAGGGGGCCTGGCAGCAGCGGGCCATGGGCCCCGGGTGGTCGCCAGCATGCTATTGTTGTGGGCACCCCTGGTGGGAGTGGCCGGGGAAGAGATCAGGAGTCGGAGGTGCAGGCTGCAGCTACCCCTGAGGCTGGGTCTTCTCCCTGTCCAGTCAGCCTCCCCGTCAGCCCCTAACCACCCGCCCCTGCCACATGCAGGGGCTGGGGTAGGGTGTCCATGCAGGGAGATTGGAAGAGCTCCCCATGGCCGCTTCCTCTTCCTTCTTTGCAGTCCGGGCTCCTGTCAGGCACTGTCCTCAGACCCCCAGGAACTTGGCTCCAGCTGCCTGACCCCTGCTGCACATGCATCAATATGCAAATTGGTTGTTACAGGGACACCATCACGGACAAATTAGCATATTATCTCTTTATATGTATAGATGATCACAAAGGTCAAATTTTAGTACTGGTCAGCAAAATCAAATTTCTTCTCACTAATATGATCTTTATTTATGGTTCATATTTTAGATAGTTTATTCCTATCTTACTTTCTCAAAAGTTCCTAAATTGGCAAAAGAAGACATCCTTTCAAAGAATGAGGAAATCTGGGTGATAGGACATGATAAATTCAAATTGAAAATAACAATGAAAAATGTATGTTTAAAAATATATTTCAGAATATTAGTCTTCAAAAGTAAGGAAATTCTAACACAGGTTGCAGCATGGGTGAACCTTGAAGATTTTATGCTAAATGAAATATTCAGGTCATAAAAGGACAAATGTATGATTCCACTTATATAAGATACATAAAATAGTCAAATAAAGACCAAAAGTAGAACTTAGAATGGGTGGTAGAAAACATGGTGGACCCTGGAGGAGATAGACCAGGCCAGTACTTTGCCATGTTGGATCAGTGAACTATTACCAGCAATCAGTGTAAGAAGGTAATGATCCAAACAGGACTCCTTTAAAAAGTCCTGAGAGACATATAATCTAAAACATATGTCCTCATATGTGAATATTTAGGTTAAAAGACTGGTAAATACTTAGTTATTCTCTACTTATGCTTATAGGATCCTTTAACTGCAGAGTGAGTGTTGGCTGCACTTACAGCACCTTAAAATTGTATTAAAGCAACTTAAGATGATTAGGGGTGGAGCCAAAGTCTCTTGGTCCCCAAGTGGGACTGAAGACCATGCCCACCCATCCAAGCAGCTGCAGAACAGGAAGGAGAGAGTCCCAAGCTCAGCATCTCTGCTGGATGAATGCTATCACCCAAGTCTCCACCCTATCTGATCTCAGAAAAGCCCAAATTCAACTGATGGGGTAGAGCAGTGTTCTCAATAGAGAAGAATATGTGGCCCTTGAGCACAGCAGTACCCTACTGATGTCACATCTACATCTGAATGTATAATAAGTAATTGGAATGTCATATGCTTGAACCCCCAGTCCCATAAGCACAAAGGGGATTTCCTCCATCAGGAAGAGCCACAGGTAGAGAAGTGTTAATTAAACAAACACCCCAGTCATTGGCTACTAGAAGGTGGATTAGGATTTAGCACCAGTGCCACTTGCGCTACAGTTTGCTCTTGTCCAAAGTTTCACTGTTGGTTGGAAAGTCAGAAGCCTCAGAGGCCCTGATGGTAAATAGTCATACCATTGCCCAAGGAGAAACCCATATAAAATTCAGGGGCTGAAACACAGAATATTGTTTCTTGGGAACATATAAATGTATTCACAGCCCCCAATCTCACCAGCATCCAGTTCAACACTGCCATCTCCTTGCCTCTCTCCTCCACCAACAACCACCATGAGGAAGGACGTCATCACCTTATAGAACTCTTTGGGTTCTGCAGACAGTGTATGCCTCACTTGGGCATTCCATGAGGCCTTTTGTTTGGCTACCATATGAATCAGTACCCTTTGAAAGGAGTTCAAACCAGCAAGTTGTGTTAGAAACTGTTCAGCAAACTGTGATCTACTCTCTACTCCCAAACCCTAGTGACCCCTTGAACTACAAATCTCTGTGACTGATGGAATTTATCAATAGATCTTCTGACAAAGGGCTGCAGCCTTCACCCAGAGGTGCCTGGATGTAGGGGCCTGTTGCCTGCATGCCTGACCAATGGAGACCTTGTGAGTGTCTAACCTGATACTTTCATGTCGGTGTGGGTTGAGTAAGACTCAGTGACTAACATGGTTGGCAGGAAGCTCAGCTGCCGTGGCACCATGAGTAATCAAGTCCTTTGTCTCTGATGCAGGAGCCTCGTGTCTTCTGGGAGATTCCACAAAACTGTGGCAGCCTAACTTGTCGTTTGCAAGTTGGGCAAAAACCTTGGCGCTTCCCAGCTCTTGACAGTTCCCATAAGGGGCTACACTGCATGTGTCTTCAGAGCAGCCATATGGCTGTATAGGAAATAAACTTCAATTATCCATGGGCTTTGGAAGCCTCGAATGGGCATCTTTATAAAAATGTAAAACGATAATATGCATTTAGGTGCTATACATTAGAAACCCTCATATTAAAATCAGTATATTCCCATTCTAAATGAAAAATCACTCTAATTACCCAAAAGGCACTTCAGGGAGTATTCAAAATATGAGAGTAATATTCACATCATAATCTTGTTTTATTGTGATGTGTGAACTAATCCCATAGTCATATGAATATGAATAACCCATGGATAGGAGAGAAGGAAAAAATATGTATATATTCTGAATGGGAAAAGTTCACATTAGAGCACAGCAGGCCATTAACTTTAGTCACTGCAGAGGTTTCTTCCCTTTCAATAGCCTCAAATGCAGTTATTCTGCCATTTAATATCATTATTTTGATTGTGAGAGGACTATTCATCTTATAAATCAATTAGTTTGACTAATGGTTAATTTTCATAGTTAGTATTTGATTTTGTTCAAGTGACTCAGAAGTTCATTGGCCCATCTCTCTTTTCAGTCTTACAATTCCTTCACTTTTCTTTCTATTCATCATTTTCTCAGTGACTTCCAAGGGACCTGCAAAGCAAATCATTGAGTTAGCATACTTCATTAGAGCAGAATCTTGCACAGAAAGGGAATGCTTTATTTAAGATTTGAAATTCCTGCCTGTTCTTTTTGCTGCTTGATGACATCAAGAAAGTTGATGTCAGCTCCCTGATAAGAATGAAATAAATTTAACACAGGAAGGCATCCCCAGCTGTGGAGCTACAGAAAGCAGTGGGGACCTTAGGAATCTTGCTGTGTCCATCATGTTCTACTCAAAGCCATTCCAAGCAAACAAATAATCTACAGACAGCCAGGGAGTTTTCATAATAAGTCTCTGAGACTCCCTCTCCATAAAATTATCTTTTTTAAGTGTCTCCCTTTTAGAAATTCTGGAACTATTTTACACTGAGAGACTGAATATGAAAAAAAAGACAACAGCTGGACCATCTCTGACAACAGAACTCTGACCAACAACCTCTGCAGCAACCAGCCCTAAAGGCCAGGACTTTATCAACAACTGCCAGCTTCCCTCTGTTTTGCCCCCTCCCCTCCCTTACTGAACTGCAAAATTCATAAAAGTTAGGGTTTGCTGTAGTTGTTTGTTTTTTTCAGTTAGTTCATAGGTTTGTATTGCCACACACACAATAAAAGCACGAAAGTAAAGATAGTGAAATTTATACTGGAACCAGCAAAGTAAATACTGACAGAGTGTGCTCCCACCACTCAAGCACACGCCCTCCCCAGGTGTGAACTTCCGTCCACCTGCACTAGAAAATTGACATCAGTGGAGGGTAGAGGCCAAGTGTCTATCCTGTTATGAAGGATCCTCACTATTGTGGAAAGAGTTAGCACAGCTTTTACTTGGTTTGTGTGTTTTAATTGGTAAGCTCCATGGCTGCCCAGGTTCACAATTTCTTATCTACAATTCTGAAATCCAAAACGTAGTTTAAAAAAAAAAAGACAAAGAAGATGTTTCATAATGGCTTTAGTCAAAACAGCTAACTTGAATGGAGGAGAAGCTATTCATAGTCCCATTTTACCTCCACCTAACCTGTGGGTGGTCAGGGCACTGGATGCATAAACCTTAAAATGCTTGATTATGGGGATGGTTCACAGAACTAGGCCTCACATGTTTGTATGTCATGATTCATAGATTTCATAATTTGGCAATGTTTTAGCAAGCAGAGACAATGACAGAAAAAAATGGATTAACAAGTCAATTTATAAGCAATATTTTGCCATTATTACTAGGTTCAAGTTATTTTCTTGGTTCATATGAAAGTCATCAGTAGATTTTCTACTTGTTCAAACCTCTATCCATTTAAGAAAGATAAAAGCTAAGGTAGCCCTGGCTGGGTGGTTCAGTTGGTTGCAGTGTCGTCCCTTGCAGCAGAAAGGTTGAGGGTTTGATTCCTGTTCAGGCCATATACCTAGGTTTTGGGTTTGATCCCAGGTCAGGGAGTGTTCAAGAGGCAACTGATCAGTTTCTTTCTCATGTCGATGTCATCGATGTTTCTCTCTCTCTAAAAACAAACAAACAAACACAATAAACATATCATCTACGGGTGAGGATTTAAAAAAAAAAAGCTAAGATAAACATTAATCCAAAGAAAACATGTGATATGCAAAATGGGTTCAATTTGGCTAGGGAGATAAGTTGTTAGACCTTTTAAATAATGTAGGATTGCTCCCAAGAGAATACTTTGCCAGGCTTTTGGTTCAGGATATTTTTTAACGAAGTAAGCATCAGGGAAGTCATGTCTCCTAAGATATAATTTCCAATTCAAATAGGTATTACAAATCAAATTTGTCTTACCAAATTTTCCCATAATGTTGCCAAATGGTTTGACACAGTTGTCCATACAGAGCTCTGACAATAAAACCAAAGAGGTTTTTTTCTTCTTCTTTATTTGGAACAAGATGGTAAAATCAGCAAATGTTAAATCTCAGTAGTCTCCAAGAGAACATCTGATTATGTCATTTACTTTTATGAGTATACCAGGCCTGGACATTCAGTTATTTGATAAAGTTTCTTCTGCTCATAAATTGGATGCCAAAAATCGGATGCCCATTTTGCTGCACTTTAATGGTAAAAATAGTAATAATATTAATAGTAACAAGCTATTTGAGCCAAACAATGGGAAAAGAGTTGTACTCTGCATTCATTCACTGAACCTTGTTTCTAAACAATATGTCCCAATGGACACCCTTTGTCAAATTGAACTTAGTGTAATGAACTAGGCAATTTGATTTCCAGACACTTTCAAAAGGAAACTGTAAAAAAAGAAAGGAAACTGTATGTTAAAATAATATTTTGAAGAATTCTGCAAAGTAACTCATCTTTTCCAATCAGATATTTGATTGAAGGTGTTGTTTACCTTGTATTCTCTAGTTACAACACATTGAAAGTTATTTTATGATTAAACTACTATCTCCATTGTTTATGGTTAAAACTATCACCATTGATAAAAGGAAACAAGTATAGACAGATCTTGTAGGACATCTTGGTTTTCCAGAAATTTTATCTTTCCACGCCTCTTCAACAAAAGCTTCTAATATTTTACTTTTAATATAAACCATTTATGGTCCTTCTGCCAGTTTCTAAACCATTTGACAACATTAACAAAAATAATGTAAAATTTAAAATACTCAGTGTTTTAGAAGTCCATGACTGTCATGTCAATTTTCTGTCCTTGTCATTTTTAAGAGAGGCGATTATATTTTGGGTGCACTGTGTTATTTTTAAACTCAAGCTTTCAGTGCTCTTTTTTCTATAATTCAATAATGCAATTTTATGTCAAACACTATTTTTGAATAGTAGTGTGCATTTCCATTAGCATTCTGGCAGCAGGACAGAAGCCAGGTCTCCTTAATCATTCCTGTTAGTATATTTGTTGACTCTATCGGAAATATAGTAGCTTCCTAGTACAAACAAGACGTGTGGAAAATGCTTTTCCTTCTATTTCAGTAATAGACAGAGGTTGGGAAGGAAGCATTTTGCAAAATGGCATTTCCAATTCACACTGGAAACAGAGATGCTTTAGAAAATGATAAACATGTGACAGAACAGCATATTCTCCCTGAAAATGCCATTTCTCTGAAAAGATGAATGTTCCTGCAAGAGAACTAAAGAGTCTCTACAGTTAACACCAGCTGAAAAATATTCAATGACTTCAATGATCCCAACACCCCCAAATTGTAATTATTGGACTAAAAATGGTATTGGCCGAGGGGCAGTGTCACTGAATCATGAGTGCTGGACTCAGCGATGTGACCAGGATGCTCAGCAGGACCTTCCCCATTCGGAGCTTAAATTCAAGGTTAAGAACCTCAGTCTCCTCCACGGTTAAACAGAGGAATTGGACCAGAGAGCTCTGAGGTCCTTTTAAGTTAAAAAAAATATATATCAGATAATAATAATCCTATCATCACTGTAACACAAATATTATAGTTTCTGTGGTTACACCTTTACTTTTTATTGTTAATAAAGTCACTACATTTAGTGCATTACGAATTAATAAGCAAAGAGTGCCATTTTAGGTTATTTCTGATAATGAAAGTCTTCCCGCTGACTATAAAATAGGTTGTTGCGCCATCTGCTGGTAGTTCTGAGGTTGTCTACTCTATTAGGTGACCAGTGTGCGTTTTAAGGGTACATTTCCTTTTTTCCTTTGTTGCTCAGAAAAGCTTTCAACATGCTTTTTGATCTCCTGGAATGGTAAATATAAATACCAAGGTAGTTATAATACTTTAAAATCATGAGCTTTTATTCATACATTTTGGCACGTTTCTCCAAAGAGATATTGATAAATCTGTTTTTTAAATAAGATGTCTAGATTGAATTTGTTGGTATAAATAAGTGGAGTATTTGCACTTTAACACATAGTATTTACAATGGAATCCACTCCCGGACTCCCTTGAGGCAGCCAACGTCTGCAAAATAAAGTGGCTCCATGGCTACCACATTCTAATGATTTCTTCCCACACATACAGTAAGAGCCTTTCCTAGAATGACACTTCGCGAGGTCTCATGCATATGCATGACTTCATTGTGCCAAGGAACGGGAAAGAACGTGAGTGGCTTTGTGAAAAGGGACAATTTGATTCCAAGTTATGATGAATAAAGATTTGTTCATGAACAAAGAACAAAGAAATCTTGGGGGAAATGCACTTTGGGTAGAATTATCAGAAGAATAAATAAAGGAATCTTCCATTAGTCACCACTTTCAAAGTTCCTGAAGTTGTCTTTTTCAGCAATCTAGAGGTGCCTTGAGGATGTTGTAATTGAGTTTCTAAAGATGGCAGAATGTGTCCCTTTGAGAGTAAACAAAAAGGCTAGTGCAGCTCCAGTGACTTTTTAAGGTTCTAATATTGCAAAAATTAACGGAATTCTTCCATCATTTTTTGCATGAGGCAGACTGACAGAGCTTCCACTAGGAAAGTCTCCAGTTCAGGTGGATCATAGGAACTGCTCAAGTGCTACCTCAGGCCAGGTCAGCTGAGTGCACTGAAGGTGGTGAGCAGGAAGGCATCTTTAAATCCAGAAACCTGTCTTTGAATAGAGGGCATGAGGGATCATCCAAATTCGACAGACGCTACACAATCAAATTGCAATACTTGGAAGTGATCAGGCAGCTAAACACTGAAACTCCTGATATATATGATGGAACGAAAAACACATGGCATGCAAATCAAATGTGTTTTAAGATTGAATCTACTTTTAGTTTAGCTCACGGAGAGCTAGTAACATCATGTCTATGGCTGAGCTTTGCAAAAGCATTCAGGGGCCCCCTGGAAAAGCCCTCTAGCTTGAAAGCCTTTCAGTTCCATGGCAGTCTGTGATTTGACCCCAAGACAGGTGAGGGAGGACGTGTGCAGGAAATGCAAACTAATATTTTCGCAAGCTTGGAATACATCACCAGCGCAAGTAAGGTTAGGCAATTTGGATTGCCTGCACCCTGATTCACTGATTTCCTTTATCTCTTCCTCATTCCCTTCCACCTCCCCCTCTACCTAGGGACAATGGGCAA